CCGGCCGCCACGAGGCGCTGCGGCCGCGGAGGCCGCCGCGGGAAGGGGCGTGCGCGGCGCGGCGGCGGCGAGCGGGGAGGGAGGGGGCTCGGGCGGCCGCGGCTCCGGGCTGCCGGCTCCGTCCGTCCCTGTGTGTTTGGAGCGGAGGAAAGATGGCAGCGGCTGCACTTCCTCTTGCACTTTCACCCCTGGGGGGAGGAGAAGGAGGGGGCGATACCACCCCCCCTACAAAAATCCAGCGGGGGCCCCCCGGCCGCTGCTCCCCGACCGAGCGCCGCCGCCGCCGGCCCCGCGCCGGGCCCCGCCCGCTTCGCCGCACCCTCACCACCGGCGCCGCAAACTTTCCTCTCTCCTTCGGTCGAGAAGCCCCCCACCCTATTCGCGGAGACCCCCCCCCCCGGGCGGGGGGGGTGCCCCTGCCCCCCCGCTTCCTGCCCCCCTCCCTCCCCGCATCCGCCAATGCACGAGCAGCCAGCGCCAGCAGGCCGGCCCCCACCCCGCCCGCCCGCGGGGCCGGGGGCTGCAGCCTCCCCCTTCCCCGGCGCCTCTCCTCCAATGCCGAGCCGGCAGCCGGGCCCCCACCGCGACGCGGGGGGGCCGCGTTCGCCCCCTCCCCCAAATATCCGGGCCGCGCTCGCCCCCCGGGCCCCCCTCCCACCGGGGAGAGGAGGGGCCGGGGGTGGGGGCGGTGGGGGTGCCGCGGGCGGCCTCCCCCTCCCCGGACCGATGCGAACCCGCCCGTAGCCGCAGAGCCGCGCGGCGGCTCCCCCCTCCCCCGCTCGCCCCACAGCCGCTCCGTGAGGGGCCGGGGGCTGCGGGGCGGCCCGACCTCCCCCCGCGCCCTCGTTGCCCTCGCGTTCCCTGTACCGGGACCCGCTCCCGGCACGACCCGGGGCAGGGAAGGGGCCGGAGGAGATCCCCGCGCTGCAGAAATGCCCCTCTCGGAGGGACCCGCGCTGGGGGCCGAGCCCCGCTCTGCCGGGGACCGCGGGGCGCGATCCCGGAGGCACCGCTGCGAGCGGGCTGTCCGGTGCTGAACCTTCCCGGGAGCGGCGCGAAGGGCTGCCGTGCCAGCATCAGCACCGTGTTCGCGTCCTGTCGAAATGCTCTTTCTATCTCCGAAGAATTTTTGCTTGCTTTTGAGGAAATACTCCCCCACCCCATCTCTGCACACACACTTAGAGAGTTCTTTGCTTTGTTACAGACGGCGCATTTCTAAAGCTTTCACGGGCACCTTTTAGCCTTTATAACATCGAGGCTAATTAAGAATCCTCGGATGACCTATTCACGATCCTGTACTGTCGCTTAAACTACTCACTGGAAAACACTGAACTTAGCACACACACAGGAGCATCTCGAGCTGTAGTGCGTTCCAAGGGCTCCGACCTCGCACTGCAATCAAATGGTGGTGGGACTGAAAAAGTCTCCTGGTACTGATGTGCAAATGAGCACAATGAGCTTCCAAAGGGCAGCTTTTTTTCACATTAACACTTAAGGCCACGCAATGCCCTCAGTTTCTGCCCTGGATTTCTCTTGCTTTTGATGGAAGCCAGCTACACTGCAGGCACCTCCAGTAGCTCTTTATTGCTGCACTATGGATGCACACTCTGAGATACAAACGTGTTTTTGGAAATTGGAGGTTGTCTCAGTGCTAGCGATGCAGGGGAGCAGAGCTCACATACACTGCCTTACACAGATAATGCAGTGCCCTCATCCTGCAAGCCTGCCCGTGTGTCAGGGGAACAGAGTTGTACTTGCCATAGTGAAGAAAATGATTACATTTCAGCTTGCTGGCCAGGCTGCATGTACACACGGTCAGAGCAGCTAAAGGAGCTGGAATTTGCTGATCTCTCCTAGTGGCTCTCCGATCAGTTGTGTGCCTTCCCCTGATGGCTCATACCAGCTTATTAATTTGCTTTCTTTTAGTCCCCAGCCCCCTGCCACGGTTCCTGCTTCCTATTTCAGCTCCCCCCTTGCCTGCTCTTTGTCTCCGCGCTAGGCAGGGGGAGGGGGGCCCTGCCGCCCTCACTGCACTCACAACTTTCTCCAGTTGCCAGAGAATGTTCTGGTTTCAGCTTCCAGCCCTCCCGTTTAAAAAGCCCCATCCAACACACTCTGCCTGCTTCCTCAGGTTAATGCTGTTTAATGCTGTTTACCCCAAAGCACGCGATTTTCCCCAAGGGACCCGCCCACACTCCCGTCGGAGTGCTGGAGCAGCGTGCCAGGAGCTCACACTGCGTCCATGCAGGGTGCAGTGAGGGATGACCCCGACGTTCCCTGATTTCCTCCCCAGCAAACACAGGAGAGCAGCACAGCCACCAACCCCAGCACTTCACTGCTCTCGGACAGTAAGGGCTGCGTCTTTAGGTTCTTTCACCTTTACCATGCTGCTCTCCCCCGCCCTTATGGCTTCACCCACTTGTCTGAACTTTTCCCAAGCTACTCCTGCCCCAGGACATGAGCCTATCAAAGCAATCATTCAGTTGGTACTTGCTACAGTGTAGCCAGATTTCTTCTATTTACAAGTAACCGTACAATTTCTGCTTTACTAAGACAAAATGTGTACGAAAAGACTGGGAGGATGAAGTTCCCTAAGTGCGATGTCATGACTAAACGCCATTTCCCCACACTTAGCTATGCAAGCAGACAGGTGTGAGTGCCCATGGCCTCATCTGTCACCAAAACTAACCAGTTAATATCTTGAAGAGCAAGTTCTGGACAGTGAAAAGGAGTCTTACATGTGAAGAAAAAAATTACATTTTCACTATAAAGAATTCCTTCCCCTTTCCAGATGATTCCTAACCTACTTTCTCTCACATCTGCTGCACCTGGACCTGTTGAACTTCTTCTGAATTCCTCTTCTTAAAGAAAGGCATCTCCTTCGGCTACTTTATTCAGCTTCTCGCTGCTTCCTGTCTCACTTCAGCTCGTGGGGATTCCTGAGCGGTCCCTAAATGTCTTGCAGCTGTTTGGTCCCTGCTGAAGCGCTCTGACTGGTATCTCAGCAGCACTAGAAATCCTTTCTCTCTGAACACGTGTGTACCACTTGGGTACACCATGCACTGCTCGCTTTGCTGCAGATCAGTTGCTGCTGCCCTTACTTGGAAGCACTGACCTAAAAGTATGAAGGCTGCTCTGAAAGTAACGCCTCCTATTTCATTTTGTTGGCCCACAATGCTAGGTGTGGGTGTTGGTGGTACAGCAGTAGAGACAGAACCTTCCCACCAATATTCCATTGCATACTGTTGCTGTGTGACAGATGGCAGCAGAGGGGCAGTCTGACAGAATGCCATCTGACATGGAGGTGCGCATGAAGCAAAGGTGTGTAACTGAATTCCTCCATGCAGAAACAAATGCACCCACTGACACCCACCAATGCTTGCTGAGACTTTCTGGAGACCAGAAGGCAGCTGTGAGCACAGTGAGGGGTGGGTGGTGCATTTCAGCACTGGTGACAGTGGCACTGGGTGTAGGTTTTTACAAGCGTGGCATGCAGGCTCATGTGAAAACACGCAGCTAATAGCAGTGACTGTGTTAACAAATAACATTTTTGTAGCTGAAAACTTGCTCTATAAAACAGTGCGATTGTGCATTCTGTATCTGTTGTTGTTTCCATGGAAATAAATAGGAGGCATTACTTTCAGAGCAACCTATGTAATTTGATCTACAAATATGGAGAAGCAAAGAAAGATTTTGGGACTGCTGCTATCTTTCAGAATAGTCTAAGGATATTCTTTAAGAAAGCTAATCTCTATTCGACACTGCTTGTGATACTAAGATAGAAAATACTATGTAACAGCACTTGTGCCAGCTAATTCAGCCATACCACTCATTTCCTTTTTGTGTATGCCACAGAAATATATCACATTGGGCATTTCATGGCACACCTGCAAATTTCAGCCAGTAGCTGTCATTTTTTCCTGAGCTTTTACTTGAATTTTAATTAACTGAGACCGACCTAACAAGCAATTAATTCATTCAGTACTTGCTGATTATTCTTCTATTTAGTTTTTAAAATTCACTCCTTTTTTTTTTTTTTAACTAGGAATCG